AATGGACCTGACTGCAGGGGTGATGTTACGGACCTGACCGCAGGGGTGATGTTACGGACCTGACGGGAGGGTGATGTTACAGACCTGACTGCAGGGGTGATGTTACGGACCTGACCGCAGGGTGATGTTATGGAACTGACTGCAGGGGTGATGTTACAGACCTGACCACAAGCGTGATGTTACGGAATTATCCGCAGGGTGATGTTAGAGACCTGACCGCAGGGTGATGTTACAGACCCGACCGCAGGGTGATGTTGCGAACCTGACCGCAAGGGTGATGTTATGGACCTGACTGCAGGGTGATGTTACGGACCTGACCGTAGGGTGATATTACGGACCTGACTGCAGGGGTGATGTTACAGACCTGACCACAAGCATGATGTTACGGAATTGTCCGCAGGGTGATGTTATGGAACTGACTGCAGGGGTGATGTTACGGACCTGACCGCAGGGTGATGTTATGAACCTGACCGCAGGGGTCTTGTTATGGACCTGACCACAGGGTGTTGTTACAGACCTGATCGCAGGGTAAGGTTATGGACCAGACTGCAGGGCGATGTTACAGACCTGACCGCAGGGTGATGTTATGGACCTGACTGCAAGGGTGATGTTATGGATCTGACCGCAGGGTGATGTTACCGACCTGACCGCAGGGTGATGTTACAGACCTGACCGCAGGGTGATGTTACTGACCTGACTGCAGGGGTGATGTTACAGACCTGAGTGCAAGGGTGATGTTACGGACCTGAGCACAGGGTGATGTTAGGGACCTAACCGTAGGGTGATGTTACAGACCTGACTGCAGGGTGATGTTACAGACCTGACCACAGGGTGATGTTACAGACCTGACCACAGGGGTGATGTAATGGACGTGACTGCAGGGGTGATGTTACAGACCTGACCACAAGCGTGATGTTACGGAATTGTCCGCAGGGTGATGTTACAGACCTGACCGCAGGGGTGATGTTATGGACCTGACTGCAGGGGTGATGTTACAGACCTGACCACAAGCGTGATGTTACTGAATTGTCCGCAGGGTGATGTTACAGACCTGACCGCAGGGTGATGTTACAGACCTGACCGCAGGGTGATGTTACGGACCTGACCGCAGGGGTGATGTTATGGACCTGACTTCAGGGGTGATGTTACAGACCTGACCTCAGGGATGATGTTACGGACCTGACGGCAGGGTGATGTTACAGACCTGACTGCAGGGGTGATGTTACGGACCTGACCGCAAGGGTGATGTTACGGACCTGACCACAGAGTGATGTTACGAACCTGACCGCAGGGGTGTTGTTACGGACCTGACCATAGGGTGTTGTTACAGACCTGATCGCAGGGTAATGTTACGGACCAGACCGCAGGGTGATGTTACAGACCTGACTGCAGGGTGATGTTATGGACCTGACTGCAAGTGTGATGTTACGGACCTGACTGCAGGGTGATGTTTTGGACCTGACCGCAGGGTGTTGTTACAGACCTGACCGCAGGGTGATGTTACTGACCTGACTGCAGGGGTGATGTTATGGACCTGAGTGCAAGGGTGATGTTATGGACCTGAGCACAGGGTGATGTTAGGGACCTAACAGCAGGGCAATGTTACAGACCTGACCGTAGGGGTGATGTTACAGACCTGGCCGCAGGGTGATGTTACGAACCTGACTGCAGGGTGATGTTACAGACCTGACCGCAGTGTGATGTTACGGACCTGACCACAGGGGTGATGTAATGGACGTGACTGCAGGGGTGATGTTACAGACCTGACCGCAGGGGTGATGTTATGGACCTGACGGGAGGGAGATGTTACAGACCTGACTGCAGGGGTGATGTTACGGACCTGACCGCAGGGTGATGTTATGGACCTGACTGCACGTGTGATGTTACAGACCTGACCACAAGCGTGATGTTACGGAATTGTCCGCAGGGTGATGTTACAGACGTGACCGCAGGGTGATGTTACAGACCTGACCGCAGGGTGATGTTACGGACCTGACCGCAGGGGTGATGTTATGGACCTGACTGCAGGGGTGATGTTACAGACCTGACCTCAGGGATGATGTTACGGACCTGACGGCAGGGTGATGTTACAGACCTGACTGCAGGGGTGATGTTACGGACCTGACCGCAAGGGTGAGGTTACGGACCTGACCACAGTGATGTTACGAACCTGACCGCAGGGGTGTTGTTACGGACCTGACCACAGGGTGATGTTACAGACCTGACCGCAGGGTGATGTTATGGACCTGACTGCAAGGGCGATGTTACGGACCTGACCGCAGGGTGATGTTACGGACCTGACCGCAGGGTGATGTTACAGACCTGACCGCAGGGTGATGTTACTGACCTGACTGCAGGGGTGATGTTACGGACCTGAGTGCAAGGGTGATGTTACGGACCTGAGCACAGAGTGATGTTAGGGACCTAACAGCAGGGCGATGTTACAGACCTGACCGTAGGGGTGATGTTACAGACCTGGCCGCAGGGTGATGTTACGGACCTGACTGCAGGGTTATGTTACAGACCTGACCGCAGGGGTGATGTTACAAACCTGACTGCAGGGGTGATGTTACAGACGTGACCGCAGGGTGATGTTGCAGACCTGACCGCAGGGTGATGTTACAGACCTGACTGCAGGGTAATGTTACAGACCTGACCGCAGTTGTGATTTTGCAGACCTGACCGCAAGGGTGATGTTATGGACCTGACCGTAGGGGTGATGTTACAGACCTGACTGCAGGGTGCTGTTATTGACCTGACTGCAGGGGTAACGTTACGGACCTGACCGCAGGAGTGATGTTATGGACCTGACCGCAGGGGAGATGTTACAGACCTGACCGCAGGGTGATGTTACAGACTTGACCGCAATTATTATGTAAGACCTGACTGTAGAGGTGATGTTACGGACTTGATTGCAGGGGTGATGTTACAGACCTGACTGCAGGGGTGATGTTACAGACCTTACCACAGGGGTGATGTTACAGACCTGACCGTAGGGTGATGTTGCAGACCTGACCGCAGGGTGATGTTACAGACCTGACCGCAGGGGTGATGTTCCGAACCTGACCGCAGGGGTGATGTTACTGACCTGACCACATGGATGATGTTACAGACCTGACCGCAGGGTGATGTTACAGACCTGACCACAGGAGTGATGTTGCAGACCTGACTGCAGGGTGATGTTACAGACCTGACCACAGGGGTGACATTACAGACCAGACTGCAGGGGTGATGTTACAGACCTGACTGCAGGGGTGATGTTACAAACCTGACTGCAGGGGTGATGTTTCAGACCTGACTGCAGAAATGATGTTACGGTCCTGAGCGCAGGGGTGATGGTGATGTTACAGACCTGACCACAGGGGTGATGTTACAGACATGACCGCAGGGAAGATGTTACGGCAGCAGTTCCAACGGCTGCATCACGTCCGTCCGCGTCTTTCCTTGATCAGGGTGCCCTTACATTATGTTTGTTTAGGGGCCGCTCCTCCATGCCGATGACTCATACATGTGTGTGTGTGCGTGTACTCACCTGTTTGTGGTTGCAGGGGTCGAGACACAACTCCTAGCCCCGCCTCTTCACTGAACACTAATGTGTGTGTGTGAGTGTTTGTGTGGGGAGAGAGGGAATATATTTGCATAAGTGTTTGCTTCTTTAAAAATATTTGTAAAGTAACAGGACACAAGTGCAACTAATGTGACATTTTATTGTAGCAACGTTTCGCTCTCCAGGAGCTTTGTCGAGCCGTTACAAACAATACATGGACACAGAGGGTATATATAGGCTCAGAATGAGGTGCAATACTAGTAGTAGTAGTAGTAGTAGTAGTAGTGATATAAGTAGTAGTAGTAGTAGTAGTAGTAGTAGTAGTAGTAGTGACAAAAGTTGTAGTAGCAATATAATATGGTAGAGCAATTAATTCGTACATGAGTAAAAGGATATAAAAGCTATTACTTGGGTAACATAAAAATAGGTTGGAAAAATATAGACTGGAAAGAGGCAGCTTGTTTCAGTGTTCACTCTCTGTAATGTGCGTTGTGTAGTATAACAGGAGAGACTATGTGATGGCAGGGTTTACTATTTTCAGGAGGATTCTTGCTAAGACTTCAGAGATGGTGAAGCTGCCGTTGTTTTGTTTAATTGTATTAGAAACAGCTATTAGTGAAGATTCAAGGCACTTGCGTCTGCGGAAATTAGTTTCTTTGATCACTAATTGGGCGTCCCTGAATTTCATGAGATGATTGGTGGAATTTCGGTGTTGTACACAGGCGTTGTTCAAGTTATCGTTCCTGCATGCATAAATGTGTTCATTGAGGCGGGTGTCTAGGGTTCTTGCTGTTTCACCTACGTAGATCTTGTCACAGCCTCCACAGGGTATAGTGTAAACTCCTGCATTGACTGGTTCGTGGTCCTTTGATTTTGTCCTGGTTAGATCCTTTATTGAAGTGCTAGAAGCGATGGCGACTCTGGTGTTAGCTTGTGAAAGTACTTTAGAAACGTTCACTGCAACCTGGCTGTTGGGAAGAATTATAACTTTGTTGGGAGTGGTGTTGGTGCGTGGAGAATTAATGATCTGAAGAGCTCTTGCAGTCTTTGATGAAAAAGGAAGGAAAATGTAACTTAGTGAAGGTTTGGTGAATGTATGTACATTCCTCGTCAAGAAACTCAGGACTACAAATTCGGTATTATGCTCTTAGGAAAAACCCGATGATGATGCCTCTTTTGGTCTTGGTATGTGCAAGACAGGTATACACTACCGACAAGATGAAAGTTAAGACACATGTGCAACATCTGGTTATCTTTATTGTAAACGTTTCGCCATCCAGTGGCTTTATCAATACAGGTTCTTGGACATAATTAGAAAACAGAAGATGTTGGTCTTGGTATCTTGACTGGAATAGAAGTGTGTGAGATCATTATTATTGGTAGGTTTCCGATAAACTTGAAATCTTAGAAATATATTATATCTTCAAATACTATTTTTGAGTGGGTGTTTCAGGGCAGCGGACTACGCCAGCAGACGGTATGGTTCTAATGATGGACGTTTAGGCCAGGCATGGAACTTACTTATGGTGAGTTAATCAATATTTTCTTCTTTTTTATTGAACAATAATAAATTACATTATACACGATGTTATTATCATCTGCTCTGATGATTGTTATGAGTCAGAGTTTGATGAATCTCTATCTGAGAGGCGGGACTTGTTGACAAGTGTTAATAACAATTCTTGCAGTATTTTTGCCCTCTTAATAACACACCTTCCCTTAATGTCACAACTTTCCTTGGAGCTGGCTTGGACCCCAGGTAAATCCCTGGAGCTGGCTTGGAGCCCAGGTTAATCCCTGGAGCTGGCTTGGAGCCCAGGTTAATCCCTGGAGCTGGCTTGGAGCCCAGGTTAATCCCTGGAGCTGGCTTGGAGCCCAGGTTAATCCCTGGAGCTGGCTTGGAGCCCAGGTTAATCCCTGGAGCTGGCTTGGAGCCCAGGTTAATCCCTGGAGCTGGCTTGGATCCTAGGTAAACCCCTGGAGCTGGCTTGGAGCCAAGGTAAATCCTTGGAGCTGGCTTAGAACCCAGTTAAATCCCTGGAGCTGGCTTGGAGCCCTGGTAAATCCCTGGAGCTGGCTTGTAGCCAATGTAAATCCCTGGAGCTGGCTTGGAGCCCAGTTAAATCCTCTGAGCTGGCTTGGAGCCCAGTTAAATCCTCTGAGCTGGCTTGGAGCCCAGTTTAATCCTTGGAGAGGTTGCGTGATGTGTAAGAGCAATAATAGCATGTTAGTGACCTCTCAGAGTTGTGGACAGTTGTACAGTACCTGACGGGCGGCAAGAAGCACCAAGGCGACCAGGTAAAACAGAGACGAGACAGATAGCTGGAGCAGCTGACAACAACGAGAGCAGATGCCAGATGGCAGGTTGAGCGCCAGATGGCAGGTTGAGCGCCAGATGGCAGGTTGAGCGCCATATGGCAGGTTGAGCACCATATGGCAGGTTGAGCGCCATATGGCAGGTTGAGCGCCATATGGCAGGTTGAGTACACGGTGGAGCATATAATAATATAATAACAGTAGCCATCAAAAATGTCTGGGCGTCCACTTCTCTTACCGTGTAACTGACATAATAATACACCTTCCTTTACTCTGTATTTGTTCTCCTAGTAACACACCTCTTAGTAATACACCTGCTAGTAACACGCCTCTTAGTAATACACCTGCTAGTAACACACCTCTTAGTAATACACCTGCTAGTAACACACCTCTTAGTAATACACCTGCTAGTAACACACCTCTTAGTAAGACACCTGCTAGTAACACACCTCTTAGTAATACACCTGCTAGTAACACACCTCTTAGTAATACACCTGCTAGTAACACACTCTTAGTAATACACCTGCTAGTAACACACCTCTTGAGTAATACACCTGCTAGTAACACACCTCTTAGTAATACACCTGCTAGTAACACACCTCTTAGTAATACACCTGCTAGTAACACACCTCTTAGTAATACACCTGCTAGTAACACACCTCTTAGTAATACACCTGCCAGTAACACCCTTCTTAGTAATACACCTGCTAGTAACACACCTCTTAGTAATACACCTGCCAGTAACACACCTCTTAGTAATACACCTGCTAGTAACACACCTCTTAGTAATACACCTGCTAGTAACACACCTCTTAGTAATACACCTGCTAGTAACACACCTCTTAGTAATACACCTGCTAGTAACACGCCTCTTAGTAATACACCTGCTAGTAACACACCTCTTAGTAATACACCTGCTAGTAACACACCTCTTAGTAATACACCTGCTAGTAACACACCTCTTAGTAATACACCTGCTAGTAACACACCTCTTAGTAATACACCTGCTAGTAACACACCTCTTAGTAATACACCTGCTAGTAACACACCTCTTAGTAATACACCTGCTAGTAACACGCCTCTTAGTAATACACCTGCTAGTAACACACCTCTTAGTAATACACCTGCTAGTAACACCCTTCTTAGTAATACACCTGCTAGTAACACACCTCTTAGTAATACACCTGCTAGTAACACACCTCTTAGTAATACACCTGCCAGTAACACACCTCTTAGTAATACATCTGCCAGTAACACACCTCTTAGTAATACACCTGCCAGTAACACACCTCTTAGTAATACACCTGCTAGTAACACACCTCTTAGTAATACAACTGCTAGTAACACACCTCTTAGTAATACACCTGCTAGTAACACACCTCTTAGTAATACACCTGCTAGTAACACGCCTCTTAGTAATACACCTGCTAGTAACACACCTCTTAGTAATACACCTGCTAGTAACACACCTCTTAGTAATACACCTGCTAGTAACACCCTTCTTAGTAATACACCTGCTAGTAACACACCTCTTAGTAATACACCTGCCAGTAACACACCTCTTAGTAATACACCTGCCAGTAACACACCTCTTAGTAATACACCTGCTAGTAATACACCTCTTAGTAATACACCTGCCAGTAACACACCTCTTAGTAATACACCTGCTAGTAACTCACCTCTTAGTAATACACCTGCCAGTAACACACCTCTTAGTAATACACCTGCTAGTAACACACCTCTTAGTAATACACCTGCCAGTAACACACCTCTTAGTAATACACCTGCCAGTAACACACCTCTTAGTAATACACCTGCCAGTAACACACCTCTTAGTAATACACCTGCTAGTAACACACCTCTTAGTAATACACCTGCCAGTAACACACCTCTTAGTAATACACCTGCTAGTAACACACCTCTTAGTAATACACCTGCCAGTAACACACCTCTTAGTAATACACCTGCTAGTAACACACCTCTTAGTAATACACCTGCCAGTAACACACCTCTTAGTAATACACCTGCTAGTAACACACCTCTTAGTAATACACCTGCCAGTAACACACCTCTTAGTAATACACCTGCTAGTAACACACCTCTTAGTAATACACCTGCTAGTAACACACCTCTTAGTAATACACCTGCTAGTAACACACCTCTTAGTAATACACCTGCTAGTAACACACCTCTTAGTAATACACCTGCTAGTAACACACCTCTTAGTAATACACCTGCTAGTAACACGCCTCTTAGTAATAACACCTGCTAGTAACACACCTCTTAGTAATACACCTGCTAGTAACACCCTTCTTAGTAATACACCTGCTAGTAACACACCTCTTAGTAATACACCTGCTAGTAACACACCTCTTAGTAATACACCTGCCAGTAACACACCTCTTAGTAATACATCTGCCAGTAACACACCTCTTAGTAATACACCTGCCAGTAACACACCTCTTAGTAATACACCTGCTAGTAACACACCTCTTAGTAATACAACTGCTAGTAACACACCTCTTAGTAATACACCTGCTAGTAACACACCTCTTAGTAATACACCTGCTAGTAACACGCCTCTTAGTAATACACCTGCTAGTAACACACCTCTTAGTAATACACCTGCTAGTAACACACCTCTTAGTAATACACCTGCTAGTAACACCCTTCTTAGTAATACACCTGCTAGTAACACACCTCTTAGTAATACACCTGCCAGTAACACACCTCTTAGTAATACACCTGCCAGTAACACACCTCTTAGTAATACACCTGCTAGTAATACACCTCTTAGTAATACACCTGCCAGTAACACACCTCTTAGTAATACACCTGCTAGTAACTCACCTCTTAGTAATACACCTGCCAGTAACACACCTCTTAGTAATACACCTGCTAGTAACACACCTCTTAGTAATACACCTGCCAGTAACAACACCTCTTAGTAATACACCTGCCAGTAACACACCTCTTAGTAATACACCTGCCAGTAACACACCTCTTAGTAATACACCTGCTAGTAACACACCTCTTAGTAATACACCTGCCAGTAACACACCTCTTAGTAATACACCTGCTAGTAACACACCTCTTAGTAATACACCTGCCAGTAACACACCTCTTAGTAATACACCTGCTAGTAACACACCTCTTAGTAATACACCTGCCAGTAACACACCTCTTAGTAATACACCTGCTAGTAACACACCTCTTAGTAATACACCTGCCAGTAACACACCTCTTAGTAATACACCTGCTAGTAACACACCTCTTAGTAATACACCTGCCAGTAACACACCTCTTAGTAATACACCTGCTAGTAACACACCTCTTAGTAATGCACCTGCTAGTAACACACCTCTTAGTAATACACCTGCTAGTAACACACCTCTTAGTAATACACCTGCTAGTAACACACCTCTTAGTAATACATCTGCTAGTAACACACCTCTTAGTAATGCACCTGCTAGTAACACACCTCTTAGTAATACACCTGCTAGTAACACACCTCTTAGTAATACACCTGCTAGTAACACACCTCTTAGTAATGCACCTGCTAGTAACACACCTCTTAGTAATACACCTGCTAGTAACACCCTTCTTAGTAATACACCTGCTAGTAACACACCTCTTAGTAATACACCTGCTAGTAACACACCTCTTAGTAATACACCTGCCAGTAACACACCTCTTAGTAATACACCTGCTAGTAACACACCTCTTAGTAATACACCTGCTAGTAACACACCTCTTAGTAATACACCTGCTAGTAACACACATCTTAGTAATACACCTGCTAGTAACACGCCTCTTAGTAATACACCTGCTAGTAACACACCTCTTAGTAATACACCTACTAGTAACACACCTCTTAGTAATACACCTGCTAGTAACACACCTCTTAGTAATACACCTGCCAGTAACACACCTCTTAGTAATACACCTGCTAGTAACACACCTCTTAGTAATACACCTGCTAGTAACACACCTCTTAGTAATACACCTGCCAGTAACACACCTCTTAGTAATACACCTGCTAGTAACACACCTCTTACTAATACACCTGCTAGTAACACACCTCTTACTAATACACCTGCTAGTAACACACCTCTTACTAATACACCTGCTAGTAACACGCCTCTTAGTAATACACCTGCTAGTAACACACCTCTTACTAATACACCTGCTAGTAACACACCTCTTACTAATACACCTGCTAGTAACACACCTCTTACTAATACACCTGCTAGTAACACACCTCTTACTAATACACCTGCTAGTAACACACCTCTTACTAATACACCTGCTAGTAACACACCTCTTACTAATACACCTGCTAGTAACACACCTCTTACTAATACACCTGCTAGTAACACACCTCTTACTAATACACCTGCTAGTAACACACCTCTTAGTAATACACCTGCCAGTAACACACCTCTTAGTAATACACCTGCTAGTAACACACCTCTTAGTAATACACCTGCCAGTAACACACCTCTTAGTAATACACCTGCCAGTAACACACCTCTTAGTAATACACCTGCCAGTAACACACCTCTTAGTAATACACCTGCTAGTAACACACTCTTAGTAATACACCTGCCAGTAACACACCTCTTAGTAATACACCTGCTAGTAACACACCTCTTAGTAATACACCTGCCAGTAACACACCTCTTAGTAATACACCTGCTAGTAACACACCTCTTAGTAATACACCTGCCAGTAACACACCTCTTAGTAATACACCTGCTAGTAACACACCTCTTAGTAATACACCTGCCAGTAACACACCTCTTAGTAATACACCTGCTAGTAACACACCTCTTAGTAATACACCTGCCAGTAACACACCTCTTAGTAATACACCTGCTAGTAACACACCTCTTAGTAATGCACCTGCTAGTAACACACCTCTTAGTAATACACCTGCTAGTAACACACCTCTTAGTAATACACCTGCTAGTAACACACCTCTTAGTAATACATCTGCTAGTAACACACCTCTTAGTAATGCACCTGCTAGTAACACACCTCTTAGTAATACACCTGCTAGTAACACACCTCTAGTAATACACCTGCTAGTAACACACCTCTTAGTAATGCACCTGCTAGTAACACACCTCTTAGTAATACACCTGCTAGTAACACCCTTCTTAGTAATACACCTGCTAGTAACACACCTCTTAGTAATACACCTGCCAGTAACACACCTCTTAGTAATACACCTGCCAGTAACACACCTCTTAGTAATACACCTGCTAGTAACACACCTCTTAGTAATACACCTGCTAGTAACACACCTCTTAGTAATACACCTGCTAGTAACACACATCTTAGTAATACACCTGCTAGTAACACGCCTCTTAGTAATACACCTGCTAGTAACACACCTCTTAGTAATACACCTGCTAGTAACACACCTCTTAGTAATACACCTGCTAGTAACACACCTCTTAGTAATACACCTGCCAGTAACACACCTCTTAGTAATACACCTGCTAGTAACACACCTCTTAGTAATACACCTGCTAGTAACACACCCTTAGTAATACACCTGCCAGTAACACACCTCTTAGTAATACACCTGCTAGTAACACACCTCTTAGTAATACACCTGCCAGTAACACACCTCTTACTAATACACCTGCCAGTAACACACCTCTTAGTAATACACCTGCTAGTAACACACCTCTTACTAATACACCTGCTTGTAACACACCTCTTACTAATACACCTGCTAGTAACACACCTCTTAGTAATACACCTGCCAGTAACACACCTCTTACTAATACACCTGCTAGTAACACACCTCTTAGTAATACACCTGCTAGTAACACACCTCTTACTAATACACCTGCTAGTAACACACCTCTTACTAATACACCTGCTAGTAACACACCTCTTACTAATACACCTGCTAGTAACACACCTCTTACTAATACACCTGCTAGTAACACACCTCTTACTAATACACCTGCTAGTAACACACCTCTTACTAATACACCTGCTAGTAACACACCTCTTACTAATACACCTGCTAGTAACACACCTCTTACTAATACACCTGCTAGTAACACACCTCTTACTAATACACCTGCTAGTAACACACCTCTTACTAATACACCTGCTAGTAACACACCTCTTAGTAATACACCTGCTAGTAACACACCTCTTAGTAATACACCTGCTAGTAACACACCTCTTAGTAATACACCTGCTAGTAACACACCTCTTAGTAATACACCTGCTAGTAACACACCTCTTAGTAATACACCTGCTAGTAACACACCTCTTAGTAATACATCTAATATGTTGTTTTATCTTTCATACAGTTTTCTAAGTAATTCTATATTACATAGTTTTCTAGCAAGTTAGTTTAATACTTCACTTTTAATGTAATAATGATTCATAACTTTCCTATTTTATCAATATAACTGGTTATAACTGTAGCCATAATTTTTAAAGGGGTGGACCGGTAAGCCAGCGGAAGGCATCGGTCAATGACCAAAAGCTCTAACGGCGGGTCAACATCTAAGACCCGCGTCAGGAAACACTTGTCCTGTTTCCTGACGAACCTAACCTAACCTCGTATTTTATCTGGTAATAATATTTCCTGATTTATTCATTCCTCTAGTTCCAGTTTGATGCTCACGAAGTTTGTACCTATTAATAATCTACTTTCTTGTATTATCTTATTTCTAGTTTAGGAAATCTGTCCCCAAGAATTTACATAATCCAAGTATCTTACCTAATTTTTTGAGCATTTACTCTGTGTTGACCTGAATTAACTTACTTTACCAATGATGTGTTGCGACAGAGGAGTGTGTACAACAACACTGTCAACACGGTCAACCATGGACAATATGTTATTGTTAAACGACCCAAATTAAACCTCCAGCCTGACAAGGTAAGTGTATATATATAATTACTTTTACTATTGGTGTGAATGTTTCCTGTTTTGAGACATACTATCTTGGTGCGAGACATACTATCTTGGTGCGAGACATTCTATCTTGGTGCGAGACGGATGGCATATTAATAAAGTTAGTGATGTATCATCTACTTTGTGGTGGCAAAAGTAGATCTCAACTCTTAATGTCTCATCTAAACTGTAGTTAAAGACGTAATTTAATATTCTTCATATCCCATCCACATTGTATCTAGATAAGTGGATCTATTATCTTAATGTCCGGTGTAATAAGTAACTAGAGTAGCAGATCTATTTAATATCCTCTCTAGTATTTACACATGAAGATCTCAACTCTTAATGTCTCATCTAAGTTATAGTTAAAGGAGAAAATCTAAAATTTTGACGATGCTATGAATCATTTATAAAAATTTTGTGATAATGTATTCTTACGTTGTTTATGTTGCCTGGGTCAAGTCTGCCCCAGAATATTGTCTTACGTTGTTTATGTTGCCTGGGTCAAGTCTGCCCCAGAATATTGTCTTACGTTGTTTATGTTGCCTGGGTCAAGTCTGCCCCAGAATATTGTCTTACGTTGTGTATGTTGCCTGGGTCAAGTCTGCCCCAGAATATTGTCTTACGTTGTTTATGTTGCCTGGGTCAAGTCTGCCCCAGAATATTGTCTTACGTTGTTTATGTTGCCTGGGTCAAGTCTGCCCCAGAATATTGTTTTACGTTGTTTATGTTGCCTGGGTCAAGTCTGCACCAGAATATTGTCTTACGTTGTTTATGTTGCCTGGGTCAAGTCTGCCCCAGAATATTGTCTTACGTTGTTTATGTTGCCTGGGTCAAGTCTGCACCAGAATATTGTCTTACGTTGTTTATGTTGCCTGGGTCAAGTCTGCCCCAGAATATTGTCTTACGTTGTTTATGTTGCCTGGGTCAAGTCTGCCCCAGAATATTGTCTTACGTTGTTTATGTTGCCTGGGTCAAGTCTGCCTCAGAATATTGTCTTACGTTGTGTTTATGTTGCCTGGGTCAAGTCTGCCCCAGAATATTGTCTTACGTTGTTTATGTTGCCTGGGTCAAGTCTGCCCCAGAATATTGTCTTACGTTGTTTATGTTGCCTGGGTCAAGTCTGCCTCAGAATATTGTCTTACGTTGTTTATGTTGCCTGGGTCAAGTCTGCCCCAGAATATTCTCTTCATTTACATACGATCGGATTCTCTAATTTTCCTGGACAAATTTTCTGAACGCTGTATCTCCAGATATATGTGACTAAGTTTTGGTTCAGCTAAAAACTTTGTCCCTAACTTGAATGTTTCAATCATTATTATAAGTTTACTACAAAGTTTTTACTAAGTGTTTATAGTTCAGTGTGACTGTAGCGTAACTTTACCAAGGTCAGAACTTGACCTCTAAGTTGACCCCACAGATACTGCAACTTAACTTCATAGTTCCCTCTGAAGGTATTACATTCACATTATGGGTTAAAGACTACCAAAAATGATTTCAAATAATTTGGGAATTATATATGCTGGGTTACCCAACTTTTTATTTTTAACACACCAGCAGTCTCCCACCGAGGCTGGCTGACTCGAGAAAGAAAAATAACTTTCACCATCACTCCATCACTTCCGTTACTACTTTCATTACCGAAATTTTTGTTACCCTCCTCACCTTGCTTTTTCCTATTTCAACTTCCTTCTTTTACATACACTCAGAAATTCATCTACCAACCTTTGTACATTTTATTGACAGTTACAAAAAGCAGCCATGACAACTCTCACTTTGTATTATATTTTAACGCCAGATCATTCACTTATTTAACCCGCCATCATTAAATATGTTAAACAACAATGGTGACCTCGACCATCCTGTCTGAGGCTTCTCTTACTGGAAGATATTCTCCGTCTCTCCTACACAACCTGAGCTTCACTATCCTCATAAAATCTCCTAATTGGTTTCACTAACCTACCACCTATTCCACATACTTGCAGCATTGCTTCCCTATCTCCCAGGAATGATTAGTATTTGTTTTACTACGATTTAATACAGTTATTGTAACCTTTAATCTTGTTAATCACAAAAGGAGTATCGTTACTGAAATATTAAAATTACTATCTCTATCTTGTGATCTCCCAACCCTGATACAAGGAGTCCTCATTCTCAACATACCTTTGCTGATCAGACTTGTAGTTCAATGTACCTTGAGTTGCTTCAGTTTCGGGGGCTCTTTTTAGCCTGTCTTAACAAGTGTGGACCTTTAAGATATACCTTTTTGAAGTCTATCCCCCACCCGCTCACCCCAAACATCATAGGGGTCAGTCCTGGGACCAGTGCTATTCCTGGTATGTGAATGACATGACGGAATGGATGCACTCTGAAGTGTCCCTGTTCGCAGATGATGTGAAGCTAATGAGGAGAATTAAATCAGATATGGACCAGACAGGTCTAAAAAGAGACCTGGACAGGCTGGATGCGTGGTCCAGCAACTGGCTCCTAGAATTTAACCCTGCCAAATGCAAAGTCATGAAGACCGGAGAAGGGCAAAGAAGACCACAGTCAGAGTATAGGCTAGGTGGCCAAAGACTGAAAACTTCACTCAAGGAGAAAGATCTAGGGGTGAGTATAATACCGAGTACGTCGCCAGAGGCACATATTAACCAGATAATTGCTGTAGCATGTGGGCGCCTGCCAACCTGAGAACAGCGTTCCGATACCTCAGTAAGGAATCGTTCAAGACTTTATACACTGTGTAGGTCAGATCCATACTGCAGCACGCAGCACCAGTGTGAACATGAGAACATAAGAACATAAGAAGGAAGGAACATTGCAACAGGCCTACTGACCCATGCGGAGCAGGTCCATGTCCCCCCCCCGGATTAGACCAATGACCCACCCAGCCTGGTTATCTCCACTCAAGGATGGAGCACTGCACCAGACCCCGCAGCAAAAGCTAGTCAGGTCCAACTCACACCCACCCACACCCACTCATGTATTTATTTAATCTATTTTTAAAACTACACAACGTTTTAGCCTCAATAACTGTACTCGGGAGTTTGTTCCACTCATCCACAACTCTATTACCAAACCAGTGCTTTCCTATATCCTTTCTGAATCTGAATTTTTCCAACTTGAAATCATTGCTGCGAGTCCTGTCTTGGCTGGAAATTTTCAGCACGCTATTTACATCCCCTTTATTTATTCCTGTTTTCCATTTATACACCTCGATCATATCCCCCCTAATTCTACGCCTTTCGAGAGAGTGCAGATTCAGGGCCCTCAGTCTATCCTCATAGGGAAGATTTCTGATACATGGGATCATCTTTGTCATCCTCCTTTGTACGTTTTCCAGAGCATTTATATCCATTCTGTAATACGGTGACCAGAACTGAGCAGCATAGTCTAAATGAGGCCTAACCAAGGATATATAGAGTTGAAGAACAACCTGAGGACTTATATTATTTATACTTCTAGATATGAAGCCAAGAGTTCTGTTAGCTTTATTGCGAACACTAATGCACTGTTGTATTGGTTTTAGGTTACTGCTAACCAGAACTCCTAAATCCTTTTTGCAATCAGTAGTATTAAGATCTACATTATTTAGTTTATATGTGGCATGGTTATTTAACTGTCCAACATTTAAAAACTTTGCATTGTCAATATTAAACTGCATCTGCCACTTCTCCGACCATTGCGTCAGTCTATTCATACAATCCTGGAGTGCTCTAATGTCCTCATTAGAATGAATAGGACGGCCTATTTTGGTGTCATCAGCAAATTTGCTTATGTCGCTATTTATTCCCTAATCTATGTCGTTTACGTAAATTGTGAACAGCAACGGGCCCAACACTGACCCCTGAGGAACAGCGCTTGTGACGTGCCCCCATTCTGATTTCTCCCCATTTATTCAAAGTCTCTGCTGTCTATTTGTCAGCCATGCCTGTACCCAGGAAAAAATTTCTCCTCCTATTCCGTGTGCCCTAAGTTTCCTCAATAGTCTCTGGTGTGGAACTATCGAAAGCCTTACTGAAGTCCATATACACAATATCATATTCATTACCATGATCTACCTCCTCAAACACCTTAGCGAAAAAAGTTAGTAAATTCGTAAGACAGGAACGCCCCTTTGTAAAACCGTGTTGAGATTCATTAATCAATCTGTGCCTGTCAAGATGGCTACGAATTGCTTCGGCAGTTATTGATTCCATAAATTTTCCCACTATGGAGGTAAGGCTTATTGGTCTATAGTTCGAAGCCATGGACCTGTCACCTGCCTTGTAAATAGGTATTCTTCCGCAGGGGAAATTCTCGACTATGCATGTTGACAACAAGGACTTGCAACTTACCACGTTGCACTGTGTGCAAGGATGGTTCAAGGGAGAGGCCCTTGACTCGGCATGTGTCGTTGTCAACCAGCACATGGTCTCCTTCAAAAGCTCTGCTCACGTACACCGTAACAGGAGTGAGCGAGTTAGCTGACAAAGTGACGTCATACTTTGTACAAGCAGTAACTCTGCTCGCTGATGCCATGACACGATCAGACAGTCGCCTGCCGACAGGGATACTGCGGCTTGACAACGCTGGTCTCTACAACAGCGTCAGAGTTAGAGTAAAGGGTTAGACTGGGCGTCCCCAGACTGGGTTTCACTGGAAAACTATGCGCTGATGGCCAGGAGGTTTGATGGCAACGAGCTCTACTACGAGGTCGATCAGGACGAGACCGACCCCGGGGAGAATGTGCTATGGAAACCACCATTTTTCCCAACGATTCTAGGCACTGTGCGTACTCTGAGACGGAGTAGCACGTAGTGGATCCTAAGGCACGCCCCAAAAGGGGCACATCCACTCCTTTTGAATTCCGCTTTCCACTCAGCTGGATCTAAACGGATCCTAAGATCTGCCATGGTTTTGAACCCTATGAGCAGGTCACCATGGAAAACAATACCATCCACGACTAAAAAATTTTTTGCGGACAGCTTGTGACCCTGGACCAC